GGCAGTACTCCCGATACCACCGAGGAGCCCGAGCCCGGCAGTACTCCTGAGCCCTCCGAGGAACCTGAGCCCGGCAGTACTCCTGATACCACCGAGGAGCCCGAGGCCGGCAGTACTCCTGAGCCCTCGGAGGAACCTGAGTCCGGCAGTACTCCTGAGCCCTCTGGGACAACCGAGTCTCCTGGTGTCTCCTCACAGACTACCTCTACAGGTAGGAGCGATCCCTAAAGTCTCCTCACTGGGGTGCACAGCACTGAGGGTGTGATGTGTAGGTGTGTTCTGGAGAGGAAAGGAAATGGTCAGGGTAAAACCTCAAAGTTCAGTCATGACAGACGAGCCCCTAAATGAGCAGTCAGTTGCATTATTTTCCTTCCTGCTGCTACCTGCCAGCTGTGGAGTGTGTGTTTTATGAGTTTGGTCTTTGTGAAAGCTACCCATAGAAGAACTGGAAGTAGCTTCAGGTTCTCTCAAAAGACCAGGTTTGACTAAGCACTGGCTTGTCGGCCACTCTAGTCTTTAAGGACGAAGTCAGCGCTATCCTGGAATCAGTCAAGATGGTGACTGATCATAATTTGGACACTGAGTCAAGCCTTTGAATTTGAACCCAAGGGTTAAGAAGTCAAGCGCTAGCTGTCCTCAAAACAGTTGCTGGCTGATCAGGCCCAAGCACAGCCATTTATGTGACACTAGTCAATGTTACTAAAACAGAAACCACTTGGCTCATTTCTCCAAGCTTGGTCTAGAATAAGTGTCATCGAAGTTCGTTGGTGACAGAAAAATGGTACGTATTTTAGGCTTTGTGGGCAACACAGGGTCTCTGTTAAAGCTGTTAACTTCTGACATTTTAACATAAAAGCAGCCATGCCAATGTAAAAAATGAGTGAATCTGGCTATATCCCAATTAAACTTTATTTATAAAAATAAAGGGTTGGTTAGTTACAGCTTAGGAGCCTTAATTTACCAACCTGGTCCAGATAACTCCTCAAACTTCAGAGTTTAAAGTTCAAATACACTGTGCTGATCTCAGAGAAAGAAGCACGTACCCAAAGAAAACAGTGACTTGCCCAGAGAGAGTAAGTTTGTGTCTCCCAATACTTTTGATCATTTTCCAAGTTTTTCTTGCTAGATCTAAGAAATGGGTGGTTAAGTCAATAGAACTCAGCCTGTCTATGATACTGTTTCCCTAATCTTCTATGAAGGGCAGAGGGGTCACAGCCAGGGGGACAGCTGTGGTGGACTCAGGAATGGGAGCTTCTCTGGGCCACTCCGCTTCCTCCACAGCAGTCCTGTGTGAGCTGCTCACGCTGATTGGCATGAGGCAAACTGCTTCTCTTGGCTTCAGTGGACTCACTTACAACTTTGTAAATAATACTTGACAGTTGTGGTGCACACCTTAGTTCCAATACTCAGGAAGCAGAGGCAGGTGGGTCTCTGAGTTAGAAGCCAGCCTGGTCTACAGAGTGAGTCCCAGGACAGCCAGAGTTACACAGAGGAACTCTGTCTCAAACAAAAACAAAAACAAACAAACAAACATTTTGAAAACTTTCCAGAATCTATGGAGATAGAGTTGAAGAAAATGGCAACCTGTGTCCGAGTCTGTAGTTCAGTGGTAGAGCACTTGCCTAGAGTGCATGAGGCCTGGTTTCAATCCTCAGTACTGAATAAAGGAAAGGAAGGGGAGGGGAGGGGAAAGGAGGGAAGGAGAGGAAAGGAAGGGGAGGAGAGAAAAAGGAGGGGAAGAAAAGGAAGTAAAGGAAGGGGAAAGGAGGTGAGGAGGGAAAGGAGGGGAAGAAAAGGAAGGGAGGGGAAGGGAAGGGGAGAGAGGAAGTAAGGAAGGAGGGAGGGAGGGAAGGAAGGAAGGAAGGAAGGAAGGAAGGAAGGAAGGAAGGAAGGAAGGAAGGTCAATCAAGATCACCTTTTGCTAACCCACAGAACATCTTTCTTCCAATCTCACCAGCTCTTTGTGTGCCTGAGTTCAGGAGCCATTGTAACATTTCTTTATTCTGCATCCTCACTCACAGAGTTAAGGGTGTAGGGCATCCTAGTTTCTCCCCTCAGAAAGCTCACTGGGTTGCCCAGGCCTTTCTACCCTGAATGAACCTGATCTTGTGAGAAGCTAAGCAGGGTGGAACTTGGTTAATACTTAAATGGGAGGAAGTTCACTGGGTTAATCTACAATTTCTCTCCTTTATTGCTCCCTTTCTCCCTCCATTTCTTCCTTCCTTTTGAGACAGCGCCCTGTTCTGTAGCCCTGGCTGGCCTGAAACATGCTATGTAGACCAGGCTCCCGTGTCTATCTCCTGAGGGCTGGGATCAAAGCATAAGCCAACATGCCTGGCTTTCTTCCTTTCTTCATGGATGTGTGCTGGCTCGGCTTATCATAACATGACATCTCGTTTCCCTTTGGGACTTCCAGCTGTCCTGCCCTGTGTGGTCATTGCCACACTAGTCTGTAAAAAGCTGCTTTATTTTAAAAAGGGTTTGGGGAGGCCTACCTGTGACAGAGAAGCAGGCACAGAGGTCCCTGAGCACTGAAGAGTTCTGAAAATCTTCCACTCCTTGGGATTAGAAAGCTGTCTTTGTTCTCAAGCAGGGCTCTGTCCACCAATCTCTAACCTTCACCATCAGGGAGCACTCAGCTCCGAAACCATAGCATTGGTCTCCCTCAGAGACAGAAGCAAACACAAGCTGCTTCCAGCCCTTCTGTGAATGTGTTGTAGAGTCATAGAAAAAGGTTATGGAGGCCAGGGGTGGTGGTGCACACCTTTAGTCCCAACACTTGGGAGGCAAAAGCAGGCGGATCTTTGTGAGTTCAGGCTATCCTGGTCTACATAGCAAGTTCCAGGACAGCCAAGGTTACACAGTGAGACCATGTCTCAAAAGAAAAACAAGTGTGTTTAGAAGGCGGGTGTGAAGAGCAGACGTGAGTCACCAGGAGTTATGGCTCAGTTCTGTGAATTTGTAATGTCTTTCTCCTCCATCTAAGGTCCCCAAGATCCATGCAAACTTAAACCCTGTGGAGGATCTGCTTCTTGTGTCAACCTGCATTCCGAAAGACTCTGCTTGTGTTCAGAAGGCTCCTACTATCAAGAGTCATCATGTGTGAAAGGTAAGTTCAAGGGATAACCACGGCAGAGCCCTGCATCCATACCTAAAGTGGGCTTTAGTGGATCTCAAATGATAGTGAAAGGGGCAGAAGACAAACCGAAGGCAAGGAAGGGCCGAGGAGAGTCTCTTGCTTTCGTCCCAGCCAACCCTGGGAGAGGAGAGATAGAGCAAGGCAGATTTGCCAGCAAGCTGGGCTGAAGGTCTGCTGTGGACTGTACTAGATACAAACCTTCCCTCTGTTGCTCTGGAGTGTACTAATACAACATGAGAACAAGTGTTGCCAGAGCCCTGAAAACTGACTATGTGATGACAAGACCTTGTCCACAGTGTGCCATGACAATGTTAGGGCATAGAGGCAGAAGAGGGTAGCAGGCTGGGTGCCTGATCCGAGCTCTCGGAGTCCAGAAATGAACTTTTGAATGACTACAAGCTGGCTTAGATCACCTGGTGCTGTGGGACCCGAAGTCTGCCTGTCTGTCTAAACCAGCCGCTCTCAACCTTCCCCATGCTGCGGCCCTTTCACAGTTCCTCACGGTGCGTGGGCCACCAACCATTAAATTACTTTCATTGCTACTTCATAACTATAATTCTGTTAGTTATGAATCATAATATAAATATTTGTGTTTCTGATGGTCTTAGAAGACCCCTATGAAAGGGTCATTTGACCCCCAAAGGGTTCACCTCCCATAGGTTGAAACCACTGCTCTAAATGATTCCTTTTTGTTCTGCTTCATGAATAAGAAATGACTTTCACTGCTAAAGCAGAAAGTGATGTAGGAACTGAGTGCACTACGTTGCCCATAACAGTTAGAGATATGGCCCCAAAGTCTGTATTTTAACACTAATAATCTAATTTCTGGGGAGCTACTCTATGTAAATAATCTTCCCAAAAGCCCTTCTATTTTAAATAGTCAGCACTAAGCTCAAAAATGAAAAAATAAGCCAGACATGGTGACACTTGTCTTAAATTCCAACACTCAGGAGACAGAGCAGGCAGGGCTCTGTGAGTTCAAGGCCAGCCTGGTCTACAAATAGAGCTCCAGATCAGCCAGTAGCCAGGACTACAGAGCGAAACAATGTCTGAAGGGGGAAATGAAAAGGAAAAGAAAGAGGAAAAAAAAAGAAGAAAAGTAGCTTATGCTTTAAACACAGAATTGAAGCGGCACTGTTAACATTAAATAGCTCAGAAAGGGTTTGCTAATTTTCAGGAAAGACATTCCCTGGAGAGATTACAATGAAAGTGCCTGAATCACTTGACTTTGAAGATAAAACCTCTGAGGCATATCAAAGCTTTCATGAAGATGTTGTCGAATTTGTAAGTATTTTCCCGCTTTCCCTTTTCACCTGGCTCTGTAGGGGGTGGAGCCTGTCTTCATATGGTCACAGTTGTGTCTGTTGTTGACAAAGTAAACTGTACCCATCCTGGTGGGCAGGGCGATCCCTTGGGATTCTTGGGCCTCCGAATGGTTGAATGACTGTGCATGGGAGACGGAGCACCCGGCATAGCCCGGCCATGCCTCCGGAAAGCAGCCTTGGGACACTGCTCCAGACCTGCCTGTTACAGAAGTTATCGGTTGATTTTGAATAGACAAGAGCTCTAATGGTGTCTTAGATTATTTCAGAGCAGGCTGGGGCTGTGACTTAGTGGTAGAGTATTTTTCTAGCATGAGAAAAGCCTAGGGTTTTACCCCATAGCATAACAACTTAGTTAATAATTCACTATTTTGGACTGGGGAATGTAGTTCAGTAGTAAAAACATTTGTCTTTTTTCCTATGTTCAGATTTGCATAAATTTCCATACCAATATGGCTTATTTTATCTGTAATATTGAAACTATATCTGATACTTCCCCTCTTCACTAAAAAATGACAAAAACATTTCACTTCACTTCTATTCTTGAGAGCAGTGTTGGCAGGGAAGGAGTAGAGTGTGGAAAGCCATTTTGGAGCCACAGTTGTTGGGCCTGGGAAACTCTCCACAGCCTCCAGCCAGACAGTGTTTAGACACCTGAGTTCAGCCAGGACCGGGTATTCCTTGGGGAGCCAGGGAGGAAGGGAAGCATTCCTTTTTTTAAACTTCATTTTACATTCCAACCACATTTCTTCCTCCTACCCCTCATCCTGAACCCCTTTGCCTCCCTCCATCCTGCCCAGCCTATCCCTCATCCATTCCTCCCGATGGATAAGGGCTCCCATGGGAAGTCAACAAAGTCTGGCTCATTATGTTAGGGCAGGACCAAGCATTAAGACTGAGTATGGTATCTCACCATAGGGAACGGGCTCCAACAAGCTAGCTCATACACAAGGGATAGATCCTGGTCCCACTGCCAGGGTCCTCTCAGATAGTCTAAGCTCCGCAATCATCTCCCACATATGAAGGGCCTAGTTTGGTCACATAGAGGTACCACAGTTGTCGATCTAGAGTTCATGAGTTTCCACAAGCTTGGTTCAGCTGTCTCTGCAGATTTCCCTGTCATGATCTTGACCTCCATGAAGCCTTCTTATTGTTTCAAAGAGTGTTTTGTTTATGTGGTTTTAGAGAAAGTTTTTCTATTGTTGCTCTTTTAAAAATATTGTATTTGCTATTTGTGTGTGTGCATGGGTGTGAGTACATTACAGTGTCTGTGTCAGTGGACAGCATTCAGAAGTTGGCTCTCCTTCCACCTTGCTGAGGCATGACCTCTTTTTTCTGCCACACTTTGTTTTCCAGGCTAGCTGGCCCTCCAACTTTAGGGGGACCTCCTTTCTCTGCTTTCCTCTCACCGTAAGAATGCTGGGATTCACTGGTAGTGATAGTACACACCTTTAAACCCAGCACTAGGGAAGCAGAGGTAGGCTGATCTCTGCAAGTTCAAGGCTAGTCTGATCTACAGAGCAAGTTCCAGGACAGGTCAGCCAGGGCTGTTACACAGAGAAACCCTATCTCGAAAAACAAAGGAAAAAAGAAAAGGAATGCTGGAATTACAGATCTGTGCCACTGTACCCACCTTTTATTAAGATTTATTTATTCATGTATTTTATGTATGAGTGCTCTGTCTTCATGCCCACCAGAAGAGGACATCAGATCCCATTACAGATGGTTGTGCGTCACCATGTGGGGGCTGGGAATTGAACTCAGGACCTTTGGAAAACTGCTCAAGTGTTCTTAACCATTGAGCCATCTCTCCAGCTCCTGCATTCAGTTTTTAATGTGGGTCCTAGGGATTAAACTCAGATTTGTGAGGTGAACACTTTGACTTGCTGAGCCCTGTTCAGGACCTTTTTCGGTGTTTTAAGACTCACACCATATTTCAGACTGGCCTGGAACTCACTATATAACTGGAGACAACTTCACATAATGGTAATCTTCCTGTCTCAGCCTTTTGATGCTGGCATTACAGGCATGAGGCATCACCCCTAGTTTCAAAGAGATTTTTAATCCAAAAAGAATATTTCAGAACCTCTTGACTTCTCTGGAGCATAGTTAGGAAATCAGAGACCATCTCCTTCTCAATAGACCTTGTGTGCCAGTCCCAGCTCAAGCCATGAGACATCTCCCAGGGTCTGTTTACTATCCAGCTGGGTCTACTGGACTTTGCATAGAGGTTTCCAGATTCTCTATTGAGCACTGGGCCCGGGACCCTAAGCTCAATGTTCCTATTTCTGTAAATAACCTGGAGCTTGGCTTATAGACCTGTGATCCCAGCTTCTTGGAAGGTTGAGGCGGGAGAATCCCAAGTTCAAGGTCTGACTGGACTCAAAGTGAGTTCAAGGCCAACCTAATCAACATATATATTTTAGAAAGAGTTGGACTGAACATATAGCTCAGTGGTATAACACTTGCCTAGTATGCAGAGGGTCCTGGTTCAATTCCTAGAACCACAAAATAAACAGATACCTAAATATATAAAATGAAAAGGATTCAACACTAGAGTAGTTGCCTAATAAGTATATACCTTAGTCGTTAGAATGCTTGCTCCTAGGTTAGATCTCCAGCAGTGTTCCATCTGGGTGTGGTGATACAAGTCTGTAATCCCAGCATTTCAGAGGTGGAGGCAGGAGGAGGATCAGGAGTTTAAGGTCATCCTCGGCTACATAATAAGTTTGAGGCCAATCTGGGCTACATGAAACCCTGTTTAAGGAAGGAAGGGAGGGAGGGAAGGAGACAGGGTGGGCAAGAGGGAGGAGGAAAGAGGGAGGGGAGGGAAGGGAGGGAAAGGGAAGGGAGGGAGAGAGAAAAGAAAGCAATGTTTAAGCCTGGAATATATATATTTTTTTTAAAAAAAATCACCTGTTCTTGCACTTCTCCTCACATATTCTCCTCCACAGTTTAAAAAAGCATTTGATGAGACTGAGGCTCCTTCTGATTATGGACAGACTATAATTCTTAAAGTGAGGTAAGTTTGCTCTGGCCCAGTGAGCTGCTTTGGAGGCAGCTTATCTTTGCTTCACTTCTGCTCTTCTCTCGAGCTCCCACATCATGAGCCATCTCGTGTTAAGAAGCAATAGCCATGGGTGTGGAGAAACAGCTCAGTTGGAAAAGAGCTCGCCCACAAGCAGAAGGAGCTAAGTTTGGATCCCCAACACCCATGTAAAAGCCTCACTCGGTGGCCCATGTTTGTGAGGCTCCCCAGTGCTCGGGGAGTGGAGACAGCGGATCCCTGGAGCTCATTGGCCATCCAGCCCCCCCAAAACATAAAACTTTTTGAAAGGAAATGTAGTGCCCCCCCCCAAAAGGAACTACAATGACCCAAAATGTTCTTTGCCCCAAGAAGGAAGACCGTTGATGGGTGCTGGGCATCTTGTTCACATGGACCAGGCATTATATGAACTAGTTTGGTTGGATCCTTTGGTTACAAATCATACCTCATCTATCCCTGGCTTGAGAACTCTAAGAACCTTCCAGTAAACTGTTGTTTTCATTATAGCGTCTCTGAATACTTGCCAAATAGAAGCCACTAGGCTGAAAATTTGACACTGTACCACCCAGGCCTCCATCTGTGGTCTACAGTTGTGGAGCTAGGACAGTGGGTCAGGACAAGAGCTCAAGAGAGTTGGACATCAGGGAGGGTCACATACTATGTATTGACTCCTCGGTTTGATCCATCATGGACATCTTTATTTCGTTTTTAGTGCCTCCCCTACTCAGTCAGCAAGATCTGCAATGCGTGCTGGTTTGAAGGATGCCTATGTATCAGTAATAAATATGTTTAATGAAAACACATCTCAAAATGAAAGTACTATATCTACTGCAATTGAAAAGGCAATTCAAAATGGTAATGGAAACGTGACAAACTATGCTAGTAAGTACTAAATAATTTTACTTAAAGTCTGCCTAAAGATCTAACTTTCTACTAATCTTTCTATTACATGTGAGAAAAGGGAAATTAAAGAGATGGATTGCTGTCTCCAAATTTCCTTTTTTTTTTTTTTTTTTTTTTCGAGACAGGGTTTCTCTTTCTCTCTGAAACTCACTCTGTAGATCAGGCTGGCTTGAACTCAGAGAATCTCCTGCCTCTGCCTTCCTATTAAAGGCATACCCCACCACCACCACCCAGCTCCAAATTTCCCTTTTAAAAAGATTTTATTTAGCTAATTACTTAGTTATTTTTAATTATATGTGTATGTCTGTGTATAGGTATGTGCACATGTATGCAGGTGCCCAAAGAGGCCAGAGATATCTGATCTTTTGGAGCTGGAGTAACAGCTGCCTGATGTGGATACTGAGAATTAAACCCAGGTCCTTTGGAATAGCGTTGAGTACCCTTCACTGCTGAGTTATCTTTCCAGCTTCGTATTTTTGCTTTTTAGTGATTAGAACCTCTCTGACCTAGTTTGTAAGCTAATCTCTCTCTCTCTCTCTCTCTCTCTCTCTCTCTCTCTCTCTCTCTCTCTCTGTGTGTGTGTGTGTGTGTGTGTGAGAGAGAGAGAGGGGGGGGGAGCAGTGTCTGTAAATCAGCCCCAGGTGTTGTCCCTCAGGAGCCGTCCACTGACTCTGGCCATCCCCCTAGGGCTAGGGATTAAACCTAGGACCTGAAGGATGCTAGTCAGGTGTTCCAGCACCGAGCTACTCCCAGAAGTCTACCTTTTTGAAGTCAAGGTCTCGCTTATGTTTGAGCTCCCTGATTAGGTTAGGCTGGCTTGCCAGTGTGCCACAAAAGACTCCGTATCCCCACTTCTCCAGAGCTAGAATTACCAGTAGGCACCGCCATGCCTGGCTTTGTTCTGTGGGTGCTCAGGACTGAGCTCGGGTCCCCAGGCTTGCACAGCAAACACTTTACTGATGGAGTCGTCTCCCCAACCCCTAATTTCTTCTTTTCAAAACATAAACAAATATGTTCTCTTAGAGTTTCCCAACATCTTTTCTCTTTTGTTGGGGCTATACAAAGATTCTTCTTAACATGTTAGGACCTGGAGCATACATGCTTTGTGACAAAGCTCTCCTAAGGGGCCTCCCACATCTATCCACCGATCTGTTTGTTCTTGGGCTCAGAATTTTGTCTAGCATTGCAGTTCATATTGCCATAGCCTCTGTGTCTTGGGCCTTATACTGTTTGGTGCTAGATAGAACTTAACATACACATGAAGAAGTTGAGGGTCCCATCAACATGGACACTGAGCACAAGGTGATCAATAGGTAAGAACAACTTATGCATTTCTTTTTTTCTTTTCTTTTCTTCTTTCTTTCTTTCTTTCTTTTTTTTTTTTTTGAGACTGGGTTTCTCTGTAGCTTTGAAGCCTGTCCTGGAACTAGCTCTTGTAGACCGGGCTGGCCTTGAACTCACAGAGGTCCACCTGTCTCTGCCTCCCAAGTACTGGAATTAAAGGTATGTACCACGACCACCTGATAATCTTAGGAATCCCCCCCAACTGCAGAGTTGACATATGCTGCTCATTCATTTGTTCCCCAGCTGCCCAGACCCAAAATAAACACACAGAAACTGTATTAATTAAAACACTGCTTGGTCTATTAACTTATGCAAATTTCTAGCTAGCTCTTATATCTTAAATTAACCCATTTCTATTAATCTGTGTATTGCCACGTGGTTGTGGTCTACCAGTAAGTTTCCATCAGGCATCCAGCATCTGTTTCCTGTTGTAGCTACATGCCATCTCTTCCTGATTCTGCCTACTGTCTATATATTTATCTTTTCCAGCCTGGCTATATTCTGTTGAGCCATTGGCTGAAAGCAGCTTCTTTATTCACTAATGGCAATAAAACATATTCACAGCATACAGAAGGGAATCCCACATCACTGTAGTTTTCTCGTTTTCACACTCTCGAGTCATCTCTATGCCTAAAAATGCTGGTGCAATTGAAACTAGTCAGTGCCAGCTCTGAAAAGTGCTTTTTGTACCACCTCTCTGCACATCTCCCTCCACCCTGAAGCCAGTCAGGCACACTTAAACAGGTTAACTGGGAACCACAAGCTGATATCTAGGACAGCTACATAGCAAACTACCCCAGATGGAAACCAATGCTTCAGCTTTTCTGATCTTCAGATCTAGTCAAAAAAATATATTTTCTTCTGGGCCTTCTTTTTCTCTAGGTTTTGGATTGGAGGTTCTACTGGATAATTTTATGTCAACTTGACACAAGCTAGGGTCATCAGAGAAGAAGGAACCTCAGTTGAGAAAAAATGCCTCCATAAGATCTGGCTGTCGGCAAGCCTGGAGAGCATTTTCTTAATCAGTGATTGATGTGGGAGGGCTCAGCCTTTTGTAGGTGTTGCCACCCCTGGGCTAGTGGTCCTGGATTCTATAAGAAAGAAAGCTGAGCAAGCCATGAGGAGTAAGCTAATAAGCAGCACCCCTCCATGGCCTCTGCATCAGCTCCTGTCTCCAGGTTCCTGCCCTGTTTGAGCTCCTGTCTGACTTCCTTTGATGGTGGACTGTGATGTGGAAGTGGAATAACCCTTCCCTGTCATCCTGCTCTGTGGTCATGTGTTTCGTCACAGCAATAGTAACTGAACTAGGGCAGAGCTATTCTCAAGCTGCAGGGTTAGTTGCTACTCAGGCTCTTTATTAGAGAGGAGCAACAGCACCCTTTCACCCTGTACCCCTCTCTGCTTTCACCTCTCACCCCAGCGCTTGCAATCCATAGTTAGACTAGCTTTCTCGGAAGGCTGTTCTCTCAAGGCATGCTCCTGCTTAGAGTCTTCCAGAGGATTGTCTGGCTTAGGGAATAATAGTCAGGGCCTCTCCAGGTGGTCAGTGGTTACTAACACCTGCTGTTTAATCGTGAAGACTGAACTGGAGCTTGTATCCCAGCAACCTTGTCAGGGGCCTAACAAATAACCTTTAACTCCAGCTCCAGAGACTCTGACACCCTCGTCTGGCCTCGGTGGTAACCGGCATACATGGTATAACTCACACACACTAAAGTTAAAAAAAAAAATTAAACTTAGTTTTGAAAACTGAGCTTAGTGTGGTATACGCCTTTAATCCCAGCACTCAGGAGGCAGAGGCAGGTGGACCTCTGTGAGTTCAAGGTCAGCCTGGTCTATAAGAGCTAGTTCCAGGACAGGCTCCAAAGCTACAGAGAAACCCTGTCTTGAAAAAAATTTTTTAAAAAAAAAGAAAGAAAGAAAGAGAAGAAAAAAGAAAAGAAAAAAATCAAATGATATTGACTAGAGAGTGAGAGTGAGGCAGTGAAGCGCTTTCATGGGTTATATGGGTGTGCTCAATGTGGTTTTGAACTATTTTATGCCTCTCACAGAACAAAACCTTTGTGAGTGTTATGGCTGTGTAAACGACGGTAAAGACTGCCAGGATTCTACACAATGCACATGCAAACCTGGGCTGACAAGGCCGAACCCACTGGTTCGTTTTTGTCTTCGTAAGTGTCCCTGCTCCCAAACACCCTACACAATTCTTGCTTTCTCTCCTCTAGTCTTTTCTTTTCAATTTTGGGGGGAGGCAAGGGTTGTTTCAAAACAAGGTTTCTCTGTGTAACAGTCCTAACTGTCCTAGCACACTCACTCTTATAGTCCAGGCTGGCCTTAAACTCAGAGATCAGCCTGCCTCTGCCCCCCCCAGGGCTGGGATTAAAGGTGTGTGCATGCGACAGCACCACCTGGCTTCTTGTATTTTCAAAAGACAAACTTGACTGCTTGAGTTCCCATGGCCTAGGAGCTGCCAAGGCGGCCCATGGGCAGCTTCACAAGAGACACATTCATATTTTACTTAGAAAAACCAGTGTACAAAATTGTATGCTATCACATGCTATCTTGGAGTTGAAGAGACTGTCTCTGTGCTGGTGAGGTGATTCAAACAGCAGAGGCACTTGCTGATCAAGCCTGAGTTTATTCCCCAAACCCAGGTAAAAATGGAGGGAGAGAATGGACTCTGCCCATTAACTTGTCCTGTGACGTCACACATGTGCCGTGGAATATGTCCTCCACCACACACACACACACACACACACACTCTCTCTCTCTCTCTCTCTCTCTCTCTCTCTTTTTAAAATAAAAAAGATATTGTTTCTGATAATGACGTTGAAATCACTTTGTTTTAAAGCTCTCGAGTGTCCTAAGCCCTGCAGTGCAATGAACAACGAGCAATGCTTAAAGAACGGTGACGGACTACTGGAGTGTGCATGCATGCCAGACTACCAGAAGTCCACCGATGGCAAGTGTGAACCGTAAGAAATCACTCCATCTTTGTCTCGTCACAGCATAGCGAGGCTAGAACTTGCAGCACATATGAAGGTTTAGCATCAGGAGCTGACGAGCTGGCATGGGTTGGCAGGGTTAGCGTGTCACTGTGCCATCATCATCCAAGAGTTTTGGAGCATGCTGCATCTCCAGGAACCACCGTAGGTAGGACCTATCATACAGTCATTAGGAACGTTCAGTCTGTGGCAAATGAAACCATATTGGATTGAGCACACCTCACCATACTGGAACCACATGGAATATTCTCTTGGAAAAGTGGTAACATGCAGAAGATAACAGAAAAAGCGAGGAGGAGGACAGAATGAAAGGCAGACGGGGAGGGAGAAATGGAAATTGGGGTGGGAACTCAAGCATACTCTCCACAAGGGTTTTAATGTGGCTTCCTATTGTCATTGTGTTCCAGGTGTTCATTTGGCTATAGTGGCCAGGACTGCAAAGACCGTAAGTATAGACACCCTAAGTTATTAAACATCCAAGAAACACATCCAGAGTCCTCCCCGCTCCGCCAGAGTTTCCGTCATTCACTGAGAGAGAAACTCAGCTTGGAGTTTGTCTCCTGGGTCCTGCATCCCATACTCACCCCTAGGTGATGGGCAGCAAGAGTTCTGCTGCTGGAAATAACAGAACTCAGACCCAGGGGTGAGCTGGTGCCTCTGAACCCACTCCAGACCGGAGAAGGGTCATTATATCCTTAGTCATCATACTCAATTTCTGTTTTATAGACGGTGCTTCCAAAGTATGGTGGGTATTGGTGAGCATTTAGAAAGCCAGCATTTAAGTGCTCAAGCTGGTCTTATTAAATCTTATTATTCATTCATTTGTTTATTTATTTGTTTTGGAATCAGGGTTTTACTGTATAATCCTGGCTGACCTAGAACTGGCTATGTAGACCTAGGTTGGCCTCAAACTCACAGAGGTCCTCCTGCCTCTGCCTCTTGAGCACTGGGATTAAAGGTATGTGCTGGGATCAAAGGTGTGTGCCACCACCACCTGCCATGAATGAGTTCTCCAATGTTTTTCAGGTTAAGTGTTTGGAACTGGTGTGAGTGTTATGTTCACAGGCTATTCTTATGATCATATTCTAAGAGTCTATAGCAGCCAGGCATAGTGTTGAATGTCTGTAATCTCAGTACTAGAGATGCCGAGGCAGGAGGACCCATCCTGGGTTACATACCGAAAGGTCTATAGCACGAATCTGAAGTAGAAGAGTGTAGGCATTAACAGTCTCCTTCATAAGCCATTCATTACTTGCCTCCTATACTAATGACATGTTTAACCCTGATGGAGGAGAGATGGAGAGGGAGTGTAGACAGCAGTGAGGTCCTCCACCCCACGAAGCCCAGGAAGACCTGGTTGCCATCAGCCCCTTTTGTATTTGGGGTTTTATAGCTGACAAGGCTGCATGTAATGGTTGTGTGCTGCAGACCACCTAATGGTTAGGGCATGGTTAGGGCATGAGGACAAGGAGAGGGTGGCAGCAGAGATGGGCACCTGCCCTGTGTGCCTCTCTGCAGGGCTGGGAGACAGGAACCTGATGGAGCTCACACTGAGACTCTGGAAACATGAGTCCCTGTGCAGTAGACAGCAGGACCCGATTGTTGGAGGCCATCTTTTCCAGTTTCATTTCTGTTGCTGAGACAAACATCCTGGCCAAAAGCATTATAAGAGAGAAAAGCTGTGTTAGATTTATTGTTTCAGGTTACAGTCTATTATTTTGGGGAAACCAAGGCATTGCAGTCTACATCCAAGAACAAAAGGAGAATGAGCACGTGGATCCTTGTTTGCTGCTCTCTTGCTCCCAGCTAGCTTTCTTCTCTCCTACTGTTCAGGACTGCCTGCCTAGGGAATGGTGCTTCCCACAGTGGACTGGGTCTTCCTGTATCAGTCAAGGCCCCTCCTGCCCCAGGCACACCACATAGGCTAACCCAGTTTAAATAATGCCTCATTAAGACTCTTCCCAGTGTAGGTTGTGCTGAGTTGACAGTTAAAACTAACCAGGATGCCGCTCTTGTCTTCTCCCTTTCAGCATTCCAGCTGATCCTCACCATTGTGGGCACCATCGCTGGAGCCCTCATTCTCATCCTGCTGATTGTGTTTATCGTCTCAGCGAGGTACGGGTGTGTGTGCGTGTGTGTGTGTGTGTGTGTGTGTGTGTGTGTGTAGATGCTGCTAGATAAGCTGCTTTCCAAAACATTCTCGTGGGTGAGGAAGAGCAAACACACAAGGGAGGCCTCTCTCCCACAATAATTTTTTTCTTATTTAAATTAGTTTCTTTCTTTATAAAGGATTTATGTTTGTTATTTTATATAAGTCTGTATAAGTATCTTATGTATACATTTATTTATGTATGCTTGTATAAGTGCGTGTGAGTACAGGTGCTTGAGGAATCCAGAAGAGAGCATTGGATCCCTGAGAGCTGGAGTGATAGACAGTTGTGAGCCACACAGCCTGGTGTTGGGACCTGAATTTGGGTCTTCTTCAAGCAGTATGTGTTCTTATCCATTGAACATCGCTCTAGCCCTTCCTCGATTTTACCTTTTTAGTGGTATTATATATATATAGTTCTATATCCTTTATGTTTGAAATTTTTTATTCAGTTTTAGTTTTGCTTCACACTAATCAGATCCAACAATCAGTTTTCTGTGGCATTAATCACTCTTCACGAGGGCCAGGTGTGGTGGTACACCCCTTTAATCTGAGCCCTCGGGAGACAGAGGCAGGTAGCTCTCTGTGAGTCTGAGACCAGCTAGGGCTATAAAGAGAGACTCTGTCTCAAACGACAGAAAACCTATGCATAGCTATGCACGCCTGCACTCAATACTTGGAAAGTGAACTCAGGAGGATTAAGAGTTTAGGGCCATCCTCCACTACATAGCAAGCAGGTTTGAGGCCAGCCTTGACTACATGAGATCCTACGTCACCAAAACAAAATCCAGGAACGGGTCAGAGGCTCAGTTGGTAGAGTGTTTGCATAGGCTGCATGAAGTCCTGGATTTGATCTCTCGTATAGCACAAATCAGATGTGGTGGCTCCCTGTCATCCCAGCTCAGGTGGTAGAGGCAGGAGACTACATAAGGAGTTTCAGACCAGCCTGGGCTCTATGGGGCAAACATATATTTAATACCATTGATGTTGTCAAATATAACTTCCCCAAATCATGCACCTGCCTAGGACTGTGCTGAATGATCCTCAGCAGGGTCCCAAAGCAACCTCTGCAGAAGCCCCGGGTTTTAAAGTGGTCAGGTCATCTCACCTTGGTGCCTTTAGTCTCATAAGGGAAGGGAGGTGAGGTCTCTTTAGCCATTCAGCAGTATGTAGCGATGCTGCCGTTCTTCCAGCTGCCAGGAAAAGGATGCTGCCACCCTCTTCCCATCGACATGTGCCCAGTGGGCTCCACATTGTGAAAGGCAGCTGCTTTCTCCCCTAACATTTAGTTCAGATCTTATATTCTGGTAACACATTCTGGCTTTTCCCACTATAACTGTAGATGATGGAAAGATATCCAGTTCTTTTTGTTTTGTTTGTTTTTGATTTTTGAGACAAGGTTTCTCTATATAGCCCTGGCTGTCCTGAACTCCCTCTGTAGACCAGGCTGGCCTCCAACTCACAGAGATCTGCCTGCCTCTGCCTCCCAAGTGCTGGGATTAAAGGTGTGTGCCACCGCTGCCTGAGATATTCGGTTTTCATTCTATTGTTGCTGTTTTCTTCCATATTGATGTTAACCCTTCCCAGAGCAAAACTAGAATAAGCCACAGGAGCAGCCCCACAATATCTAGCTTTCTCACTTCTAGGAAGAGAGGCAGAACATTCTTGGTTTTGGAGTAAGCCTAAAGGTAGTTGGCTGGCTGTCCTGGCCCTGCAGGGACCAGAGTTACTATAGAATTGGGTGACCATGTGACAGTTTTTTGTTTGTTTGTTGTTTGTTTGTTTATCAAGACTTCTCCACCTGCTGCAGAGCCAGGCTCTTAGCTCATCCACAGAGTCAGGGTTCTTGGAATGACAGCATGAAATCTTTGCCTCCGTGATCAGTCCTTAGGGACGAGGAGTCTTTGCTAGAGAGACTACCAAACGCAGGGTTCCCAGGGCAGACTGAGCTAGCTGTCGGAGGCACCCGGTGAATGCCAGCCCCAATGTGACTGAAGCACAGGTGACCTGCGTCGTAGATACAGCTGTCCCTACTCTCTTGATCTGGGGAGTGGGACTATGGCCGTGGACAGGAAGACAAGCAGGTGTATAATCTGGGTGAGGTAGGACGATGGCCCTGTGAGCACCAACGCTTACACTTGGCTTAGAATTCCCACACGAGAGGCCCCCGAAGTGGCCCAAGCAGCCCTATCATCCTGCCAAGCCCTATTTCCTTTTCTCCTCACTGTACACGTGTGGGCAGTTTGTAAACACATATCTACTAGTGTAGGTACTATGCATATAGGTGAACGTGTAGACCCAGGGTTGCTGACAGGAAGCTTCCTCTGCCATGGGCTCCTCCGCTAGCTGAGGCAGGAGGTTTCCTCTGCCATGGGCTCCTCCGCTAGCTAAGGCAGGAGGCTTCCTCTGCCGTGGCTCCTCTGCTAGCTGAGGCAGGATCTCTCAGTTGCACTAGAGCTCACAGGAACGGTTACTCCAGCTAGCTAACTTTATTCCAGGGATCTCCATCCCGAGTCCCTCCTTCCAAGTGCTAGAGAGACAGGCAGGCCTCCATGCATGCCCACCTGACATTTGTATGGATGTTAGGGATTCCAACTCAGGTCCCCACACTTCTGTGCCAAGTGCTTTGAAAGCAGAGCCATCTTCTCAGGCTCCATTTTCCTCTTCTAAGACCATGATATGCTGAGCGCATCCCGCTCACTGGATGTTTCTGTAGACATTTATTCTGCTGGTGTCAGACATAAGTCGTGGTTTCTCTTTCACTTCTATTAGTTTCATAACCAACTGGAAAGCACACCTAATGCCAACGTGGGCCTGGGCATGGTGGCACACCCTTTCATCCCGACACTTGGGAGGCACAGGCAGGCAGATCTCTGTGAATTCAAGGTCAGCCTGGTCTACATAGTGAGTTCCAGGACTGTACCAGAAAAAAAAAATTGCTTCAAGAAACTTTGTTACCATCCTTAAATCCTAATTCATTTTACTGATTATAGTTCCAAAAACAAAAAGAAGAATGTGGAGGAGCAGAAGTTGATCGACGAAGACTTTCAGAACGTACGACTGCAGCAAACAGGCTTCACCAATTCCGGCTTCAGCAACTCTGGCTTCAGCAACTCCCGCCTCAGCAACTCTGGCTTTAGCAACAACTCCGACTACAGCAACTTCGGAGCTGGCAACAGCATCTTCCCCAAAGTCAAGACAGGGTTCCCAGGTCAGACCCAAAATCCTTATGCAAACCAGCGAAGCATGCCTCGCCCTGACTACTAGGTGAGTGACACCTCTGACTGCAGAATGTAATGCCCAGGCAGGGGAAGCTGAAGCAGAGCTGGAGAGGTAGTTCTTAGAGAGGACCTGGGCTCGGTTCCCAGCACCACAACCATCCCCCTGCAACTCTAGTTCTAGGGAGTCCAATGACCTCTGCAATCTCTACAAGTTCCAGGCAAGCACATGGTACACATACATAAATGCAAGCAAAACACTCATGCACATAACAAAAAAAATCTGCTGGGCAGTGGTGGCACATGCCTTTAATCCCAACACTCAGGAAGCAGAGGCACGCAGATCTCTGTAAAATTCAGGCTGGCCTAGACTCCCTGTGAGCTCCAGGCTAGCCCAACTGGGGCTACATATCAAGACCCTAGCACATAAAAACAAAATAAATGTGATGGAAAATACCAACAGCAGCAAAACCCAGCGTGCTGGGAGCAATGAAAATACCTGTATCCCAGCATGTTGGGAACAGTGCACATACCTGTATCCCAGCATGTTTGGAGAGGTGCACATACCTGTATCCCAGCATTTGGGAGGCCGAAGCATGAGGACCATGTGTCTGAAGTCAGGCGACTTAGTTACTTCCATTGCCTTGATAAGACACCATGGCCAAGACCAGCTATAGAAGAGTTTACCAGAGGCTTGCATTTCAGAGGGTGAGTTCATGGCCATCGTGGTGGAGAGTGTGTTGGCAGGCAGGCAGGCACGACACTGGAGGCGCAGGAGAGCTCATATCCTTAGGAGACAGAGAGAGCTGACTGGGAATGGGAATGGGCATTTGTAACCTCAAAGCCTGCCTCTAATGACACTGCTCCTCCATTGGGGCCACACCTCTTAATCCTTCCCAAACAGTTCCACCGACCAGGGGCCAAGTATTCACATGTGTGAGTCTTTGGGGGCCATCCTCATCCAAACAACCACCTCAGGCTAGGCTAAATAGATCCTGCCTCAAAACAAACAAAACACCCCAAAGACATAAGGGAGAAAGCCAGAGAAGACAAGGGTGTTAATTGCCAAATCTCAGTGTTCTCTTGTTGCAGTTTGGAAATCTTTTCTAAGCCTCATCTCTCTTCTTCTCTCTCCTCCTGTATAGAATGAGAAGAATTTGGAGCCCTCTCTAGCCGAGCCCACACGAGCTGTTATTTTGAGTGTTTAGAGGATAAGTGGACAGAGACAAAAACCTGACCTCCAGGGTTCTGTCTACCCCATCTGTCAACCCCTCTGAGTGTGGCCCTGTATGAAGAATGCAGCTCCCTGAAGACATCTATAAAATTAAATGCACATAGACACTATGAGCCTTGTTAAGTGTTGATTTCCTCCAGTTAGTACAAAATGCTAATACGGTGATTGGTGTAGGGCTTTTCTCTCCTGGTGGGCCAAAAGCATTTCCAATCTAGAGGGATCCCCCTCATAACCCATCCCTGGGCAGTGCCGCTCCTGAGCTCTGGACCCTGGCCACCCGTGAACCAGTGGCTTGTGATAGGGCCTCACTCCAAGAACACAGACAGGAGACAGAAACATCTTCCAGCTTTCTCAGGAGGACTACGGGAATCCAGGAACCTTCCGAAGAGGCTTGGATTAGCTCTGTCCTCCATGGGTACATTCAAGTCTTTCAGATGTTAGTTGGCAGGAGAAACAAGGAGGAAAACCATGAGCTTTAGGTAGTAGAGAGAAGTCAAGGAAGCCACGCTGGAAGGGCGAGTGAGGGAGAAGGGACCAGTGGCGCCTAGTCCCTTAGTGTCCCTCCTCAGGCAGCAAATGGGCACTTCTCAGGGGCTGCCCTCCCCAAGACATAGATCCTGGGAAAGCCATAAAAAACAGAAGTCAGTATGAAGTCTGGAGCTGTGTAAAATGGTCCAGGTATCCACTCTATGATGTAGTTTCCCCGGGTACTTCACTGGGCCTCGGCCTGCTCCTTGATGGAGGCTTAGCAGTGCCCACCAAAACCCGTGCGCGCGCGCACACACACACACACACACACACACACACACACACACACACGACAAATATACCCAGCAGTCTTTTTAAATGTTTTTAATTGTGTCCTGTGTCTATCTGATGTCTGGTCCTCTCAACAGGTACTTTTATTTGTTATTATTACTTGTTTTTGACTGTTCATTGTGAAAAGCAGTGATGCAATAAAACATCTTTGGTACACAGTACTTTGGTACTTCTTTTTTTGTTTTGGGAGCTTTGGGGGATACACACAGCAGCGAGCCTCATTTTATTTTGTTTCTCTTTTGATCTAGGTCTCGTGTATCCCAGGCTGGCTTCAAACGTTCTGCATTGCAGATGATAATCTGAAATTTCTGACCTTCCTGCTTCCAGCTCTCTAGTGCTAGGATTACAGTGTGCCACCATGCCTGGTTTATGTGGTGGACAGGGATCATACCAGAGCTTCATGCATGCCAGACAAGCCCTTAGCAACCAAGCTAGCCTTAGTCCCTAGCATACGGCTTATTTCATTTTTTAAGGATTTGTTTTATTTTGAAGTGTGTGTGTGTGTGTGTGTGTGTGTGTGTGTGTGTGTGTGTGTAGGTAGGTAGGTAGGTAGGTATAGATAGCCATGGAGGCCAGAGGCTTTGTATCCTCTAGAGTTAGAGTTAAGGCAGACAAGAACTGTCTAAGATGCTGAGAACTCAACTCAGGTCCTCTGCGAGAGCAGTAAGTACTCTGAACTGCTGGGCCGTCTCTCTAGCTCTCCGAGAAAATGTGATATGTCACCCACAAGCTACTGACATTTACTGTCTTTTTTTTTAGGGGTTTTGGATCACCCACACATTTTAACATGTTGTAGATCATGGTGGCTGCTAGTCCCCCAAACACAACTCCATGACAAGTAGCCCGGCCATGGGTGGGACTCCTGGCTCCAGGGATTGGCCCAGGCTAATCAGTGAAGTCCCATTCTTCTGCCACTGGAGTGGACTTACGCTGAATACCTATGTAATATATTGAAAATCGCCATGTGCTGTTTCAGCTTGTTGAAAGTCCATTCTGGGAGCAAAAGAACCTCTTTTGTCCCAAACTCAAAATGTTTCTTTAAAGTATTTCCCCAAACTCCCTATCTCGTGACTGGTGAGATGATGTGGCTGATGAAGGCCCCTGCTGCCAGGCCTGACAACCCGGCTTGGATCCCTGGGACCCACATGGTGAAAAGAGAGAACCAACTCCCACAAGTTCTTTAACCTTCGCAGTCAGGAGGCAGAGGCAGGTGGGTCTCTGAGTTCAAGGTTAGCCTGGTCTACAGAGAGAGTTCCAGGACAGCCTGGGCTATACAATGAAATCCTGTCTCAAAATAAAACAAAACAGAACAAAAACCAAATATGTATACACTTCTCTGTCCTGAGTCAGGCTGGTGTCCAATTCTGGGACATGGAGACAGGAAAATAGATAATGACGTTAAAAGACGTTGTATCCTTGAAAACAGCTAGAGGGTGAACCATTTTCCTTAGAGGTTACTCTTGTTTATCCCATGGTGTAAAAATGCCTGTGGAGGAAAGAGAAAGCTGGAAGCCCATCCGTGGAAAAGAAGCTCAGTCAGGAACTTCAGCTGGCTGCCTCAGCATCTGGTGTGGGAGGTCCTTCTGTCTATGTGTGGCTTGTATTGGCTAATGAATAAAGAAACTGACTTGGCCTATAGCAAGGTAAAAGGAAGGCAGAGTCAGGAAGAAGGGATGGAGCCACTGGAGACAGACACTACAGCCACATGGCGATACACAGATTAATAGAAATGGGTTAAATTAATATGTGAGAGTTAGCCGATAAGAAGTTCGAGCTAATAAGCCAAGCAATGATTTAAATAATATGGTTTCTTGTGAGACGCACCTCTTGACCAGCAAGCAGGGACAACCACAAAATCGAGAATCCTTCCCAAATCACAACTTTATTTGGAGCCTCTTGGTTGAAGGGGGAATGGGGGACGAAAGAGGGACGAGAGAGAGAAGGAGCAGGGGAAGGCGAGAGGGAAAAGGTGAGAGAGAAAGAGCAGAAAGCCAGAGAGAACAGGAAGAGAGAGAGAGAGAGAGAGAGAGAGAGAGAGAGAGAGAGAGAGAAAGAGAGAGAAGCCCAAGCAGCAGCTGCTTTTCTAGGGTGGAGAGGCTCGGATACTGTCCTGATTGGTTAATACCATTCTGCTGGTGCCCAGGGCCTCGAGTTTGGCCAGGGGCAAGGTTAAGCAAAGGGTGCTCAGCCCCACCCGGCAACATCAAAGGATTTGTTTACCTCCAAGCTGCAGGACCACCTGTGCCATCTTATAATGGCGATTTCTTCAGGTGGCTCCTTATAGTTTCTATGTGATTATTTCGGGGCTAAGTGGTCTGGAACCAACAAGCGCCCATAATGCAATAAACCTCCCTAGTTGACTTCTAGCCGGATGTTGTAAGTCATTGATTTGATGTGTGAACTTAAGTTTCCAGGAGGAGGGGGAGGGAGAGAGAGGCAGAGGATAACTGTAAAGAGAATTTTTTTAAAGACTCACGTTGGGAAGAACCCTGTGACACAGGGCTCTGGGTGCTCTATGAGTCACAGCAGGTTGTGAGCTACCTGATGTAGGTGCTGAGAACCCAGATCCCGAGTCCAGAGGAGCAGCACAGGCTTTTAACTTCTAGCCCATCTCTCCAGCTCCCACAAAGCACATCTGTTAGCTACTAGACTCCACGTAGAGAAACACTCTGTGAAAACTGACTGGCTAATGCAATCAATCAACAATGTTGGTCTAATTGCAAGAATTACCTTCAGTCAGCCAACCATTGCGATTAGCCATCCCAGACTTCACTTGGGGCACACAACCTCTCTAGTTCACGGACAGCTTCAGATTTAGTAAACTTTGAGCCCGGTTTCTAGACCGTTCCATCTGTTCACCTCTGACTCACAACGCGCCAGCTCCTAGCATTTCTCAAGCACCCTGAGTCTACAAGTTTTCTGGGCTTGCGGGGCCGTTCTTCAGAGACTCGCTGTTGTGGTACGAATACAAATAGCATTCCGAAGACCAGACGTAGTCACGCACACCTTTAACCCCAGCGCTCGGGAGGCAGAGACATGCAGATTTCTGTGAGTTCCAGGTCAGCCCCAACACCACCTCAAAAACAAACAAACAAACAGGGTCTGTAGTCCAGGCTGACCTCAAACTTAATTTGTAATCAAAGATAACTGTGAACTTCTGGTCCTCCTCCCTTCTCCCAAGTGCTGGGATTGTAGGTGTGCACCTGTTGTACAGGATTTTCTGATCGAAACGACCACTGTCTTCAAGAGTTCTGCTGAGCCTGCTTGCAAAACTTCATCACAGCTGGTCTGTTGACTGTTTACCTTCCTTAATAGAAGGGGGTGGGGAGGGTCATGGGACCCTCACTTGCCTCACCCGAGTATCTACCACCACCCCAAATAGTTGCATGCAATTCTGCCCTGATTACGTGTGGTCTTGGGGCACAGGACCAGAGAGGGTATATGTGGGGAAAGATGAGGAAAGCGGGCTGCATTCATCTACACAGCTGTGGGAAGCTGTGATTTCTGTGGGGTGCAGACCTTCCAGTGGGCTGTTTTCCCCCCTAAAACAGGGTTTCTTTGTGTAGCCCTGGCTGTCCTGAAGCACACTCTTTAGACCAGGCTGGTCTCTAACAGAGATCTGTGTGCCTCTGCTTCCCAATTACTGAGACTGAAGGTGTGTGCCACCACTACCCAGTTCTTGGGGCTGCTTTAAGAACACCAGTGTTGCTGCCCATAGCCCTTCATGGAGCCCATTACTCTATAGAGTAAGCCTACTTAACTTATTGGTTCCCCCTGGTGGGCTTCATTGGAATCACACCTCCTCAGGAGGGAGGAGTTTTAGCAACAGCACAGCTCTGCTTGGCTTGGGCATATTAAATTTTTAATCTTGAATGGTTCCCAAAGGCCCCGAGCAGACTTCACTGCAGTTTGTGCTGATACTACAAGTAATTAGGACTTCTAAATAAGACCTGGAAGAAGGAAGTTTGTTGCAGAATATTATTTTAAGACGTGTTACATTTGTTTATGCTGTGAAACATTTGTTTAAAGATACAAAGGTTGTTGCATTCATTTATGCTGCATTTGTTTAACTCTACGAAGTTACTTTGCCTGTCAAAAACACTTGATGGTCTAATAAAGAACTGAATGGTCAATAGGCAAGCAGGAGAGAAAATAGGTGGGGCGGCTGGGCAGAGAGAATGAATAGGAGGAGTAAGAAGAGAAGGAGAGGTGGACGGTAGGGGCCAGCCATTCAGCTACACAGCCAGCCTCAGAGTAATAAAGAAAGGTATAGAGACTAGAGAAAGATAAAAGTCCAGAGGCAAACAATAGATGGGATAATTAAAAAAAAAAAAGGTAGCTAGAAACAAGCCAAGCGAAGGCTGAGCATTTATAAAAGGAATAAGTCTCCATATATTTATGTGGGAACTGGGTTGCAGGCTCCCAGAGAACAAAGAGTTAAAAAAAAAAAACTACAGAAGTTAGGCCACTGGGATCCCCTCCTTCTTCTCAATTTTGCTTCCTGGCTGCCATGAGGTGGGGAGGATGGCATCCATTCCTGACATGATGCCCTGTGCTGGGCAGGCCCAAAACAGCAGAGCTAAGATCCACAGGCCAGAGCCTTGGGAACTGTGAACCAAATACCAAGCTGGCCTCGAACTCACAGAGATCCGCGTGGCTCTGCCTTCTGAGTGCTGGGATTAAAGGTGTGTACCACCACCACCCTGGCTCTTTATATGAATGTTTTAAATTTTGTTTAATTATTTTTTGAGCAATGACTCTGCTGTGTAGCTCTGGCTGGCTTGGAACTCACTGTGGAGACCAGGATATTCTTGAATTTACAGAGATCTGCCTGCCTTTGCTTTCCAAGTGCTGGGACTAAAAGACTGCTCCCCCATGTCCGGCCAATTAATTTTTTTCAAGTGTGTGTGTGTGTGTGTGTATGTGTGTGTGTGTGTGTATGAATGTGTGTGTGTGTGACTACAAACAGGCCTACTAGTGTGTACCACAACATACACGTGGGAATCAGAGAACAGTCGCTTCTCTCTTTCCACTGTCACGTGGATCCCAGGGATGAAATCAGGTCATCAGACTTGCTCCGCAAGCACCACCTGCTACCTGCAGATGCATATTACTGGACTCCCTTTCCTAAAGCTAATTTATCCAGTGTTGGTTTTGGCAA